TCTAGGAGAAACTGAACATGCTTTCTCTACCCCTAGTGGGAAAACCAGAAGTTGAAAGAGGCGAAATATTCAGAAAAATAAATTTTAGATATGAATACTTGACTATCACATAGAAGGAAAATAAGAGTCAAATATGATTTAGGCCTTTCAAGTTGATTCACAGAACAATAACATAACTTGTTGTGCAACAGAGTCAAATAAATAGCCCTTTCCTTTGAATACAGAGCACAGGGTTCATATTTCCCATATACCTTTTTCTGCCAGCTTAGGCCATTAAACTTTATTTTGAACCAGCTCTAGAGTTTTCTATTGGCCCAAGTGTCCAAACCCATGGAGTGCTTGAGCTTGGGTAGTATCAACCGTCTTCTTGTACCTTCTGATTAGGGCATACAGTCCCAACTTTTGCCATCCTTTCAACAGTAAAGCACCCTTTTGGTAGTGAAACATGAGTTCCTCAGTTCACATCTTATTTTCTTGGCCTCACTTGGCATCACTTTTCACAGCATCTTACAGATGCCCTTGCCATCAATCATCTAGGGACAAGCAGGACAAGGAGGATTGAATCATCATTAAAATATTTATACCCACTGATGACACACTCCATGGGAGAAGTCTCAGGCTCTCCACTGTACTTCCTTCGGTTAGTAGCCTGGCTACATGCATGCCAAAGATTATCTTCATCCTCCCATAGGTATTATCCAAGAATTCAGTTGGTTAGGTACTGCAATATAGGGCATTTGCATTGACATTAGTCTCTCCTGGTCATTAATACACTATGAACTAATAGTTGGCCAGTGTTGCTAAACCACCAGGGCTGGAAGTATCCAATGTAGCACTTATAAAAAAAATCTGGGGACAGCTAGGTGGCGCAGTGGATAGAGCACCGGCCCTGAAGTCAGGAGGACCTGAGTTCAAATCCGGCCTCAAACCAAACACTTGACACTTACTAGCTATGTGACCCTGGACAAGTCACTTAGCCCCAATTGCCTACAAAACAAAACAAAACATAAAAATGTGTCAGTGGATTATTGTCCATCCATGCTTAGAATGCATACATACATACATATATATATAGTCTCAGAACTTTTCTGTGAGAGCCCACTTCAAAGCCAAGAACTGTAAGTCACAGATGGGATAAAGAGCCTCACTGCCAGTGAGTCTACTTGCAAATGCTATTTGTATTTATCCTTTACTGGCTTCTGCTGTTCATTACTTTCTTTGTAAGAAGCCGCTCCCAAGCACCCCAGGCTCATTCATGGCACACAGGAGTTCCCTGGATCTGCAAAATCAACCCCAGAGCCTGTGTGAGGCAGTTATCCCAAATGGCCCGCTCAGATTTCTCATCCCAATGATGTACAAAATGTGAGACAGAGTTCAGCCTATGTTGCCATTTTTTACCCTTTTGTTTTGAGTTCTTTTCAACCATATACCTATGACCATCAAGATATTTAGCATCAATGATACAGTTTTCACAAATTTTTAATAGTCTGAGTCCTAGAAAATTCTCCAGCTCTGATAAATTTTTGGGACTGGTTAGGTTACACATGTTTTTATCTTCTCAGGTTTAGTATTCACTTCCTACTTAAATATTATACAACCCACATAATTAACAAAGGTTACGTAGAACTAGGCAGAACTGTCAGGTTAGGTGAGCTTTCACCATCAGTGACCTTTCCTCATGCTCTTTCAACATCTTTTTAAATACGATGAGAGCATCCAGACATAATAAGATAAAATAATCAGGTAAAATCTCCAAGAAGTTCATGTCACCAACCACCATTTTCTATGAGTTATTCAAAAGAGACTGGATCCCCAGAAATCCCTCAGCACATGTATTCAAACTGCTAAAATCTCATTAAGCAGATAAAGACCACCTTTTTTTTAAAAAATCTTTCTTTGTCACGAGGATCTTATATTTCCCATCTTGCTTGTCCAACAATGAAAACCACTGACTAGCCAAGCAGATAGGTCAGGATATTTTGAATGTGATCTCCTTAGTTTTTTTTTTTTCCTTCAGAGTTCAATAGTTGACATAATCCATATCTTCTCAATTTTCTTTAATTTTACTACTATGGGTTAGGCACATGAACTATGGAACTCTGTAATGATGCTATTGATGAACAGTTCCTTCAGGTCCTCCATTTTATTGATAGAAATTTTCCAAGGGCTAACCTTTGTTACTGTTGCCACTGGGTCCTTCAACAGCTACTAAGGAGGATATTATCACTGGGTCACTAGTGGGCTGCTAAAAGTGTCTCCCCTACTAGCAGGATTTGTACATTATCTTCAGTGTGTCTTTTAATAACCATGAAGGCTTTGAACCTGCTCACAAACTCTTCCTCAGCAGTAGCAGGTATAGAAACTAACTTCCAACTCTGTTCACTATTCCCTCCCCCCTCCATGTACTTTTTGGGGACTGTGGGAATGCCTCACAATTTCCACTGTAGAAGCACACTGAGCATTCATTTCCTCCCCTCAAACATCCCTCTTTTGGTAATATTTAAAAAATAATATCTTCTCAGTGTCTTTTGCTAAAGTCCTTTGTCTCATATGAAGAGAAACCTTTTCTGTACTTAATTCTGATGAGACAATGTCCTGCAGTGAAATCTTTTTGGCTTCATTCTTATGAAAGTCCTAATCAATTTCTGAATGGAGAGGCCTGATTCACCCAGGAAAGATTACTTCCTGAAATTAATTTAAAAATAAAAAAATAAAATTAAAATAGCTAACATTTATATAGCACTTACTATGTGCCAGGTACTGTACTAAACATTTTACAGTTATTATTTCATTTTATCCTCAAAACAACCTTGTGATGTAGGTGCTATCATTATCCCTATTTTACAGATGAGGAAACTGAGGTTAAGTGACTTGTCCAGGATTACAAGCTAGTAACTATTTGAGGCCAAATCTGAACAAAGGTCTTCCTGACTCCAGGTCCAGTGCTCTATCCACTTAATTAATTAGGGCAATGATCAGACTAGGAGAAGAAGCTCTTTGATTAACCCAATCAGGAGCAATCCCACTTTCCTCAACTGCACAATTTTAGAAAAATAATTCTCCAGGTTCCCTAAAAGTTAAGTATCTTTTATTTGATTTATCAAAACTGCTACCTACACTTAGTACTTCTGTTTCATCTTGAATATGGATTTTGTCTTAGTTATTGAACCCTATAAATTATAACTAAAAAATGGCTTGGGTCAGAGAGATGTGGGCTAGAGGGTCTTTGTCCATTTGAACTTCTCTCTTTGAACAGAGATGTTTAGAATTGTAACTTAATTAATTAATGAATTTGTCTCTGACAGGTTTGTGCCAAAAAATGCAGAGTACTAAAGTCTTTCTTCCACATCAGCAGCTTACACAGTAATCTAATGCTTTGCCTTCCTTCCTGTATATCTTACTTAATATCTAAAGTAAAGTCCTTAGTATTATTAACTGTACAGTCAATAGATGCTTCCAAATCCCACTGTCCTCAATGGGGGTCAAGTTCTAATACTAAGCACCATTCATCCAATAACTAAATAGCTATGGTGAGGCTTCAATTCCACCCCACCTTCATTCACAAATATGAAATACACAATGACAATGTGACAATGTCACTTCAACATCCACAATTATAAAGTATACTTTAGTAGGAGACAAAAACTGTATGACACTTACATACAGTAGTACAATGGTTACTTGAATCAATTTGCCTGGTCTGTAGTAGAATTTGTATAGTAAAGTGCTGTCAGAATGCATCCTAGACCTTGAGAAAGAAAACAAACCTGAAAAAAAAAATCCTTTCAATGTAGCTTACCATTTACAGAGGCTACTAACATAAACAATTTGCTCAATGAAGAGTTATGAGGATGCTGGTCCTAGCAATTTACACCTTGAAATATCATTGTAACCTAGACTCTTCTACTATGAAAATTCTTTAATGTTCCCCTGAAATGGAAATACTACAGCAGGTGATCCTACCTAGTGAGCTATCTGTTGCTACAGAGATTTTTTTTTTTTGAGAGAGAGAGACAGTTCGAAATCAGCCCTGTCTGACATTGAATATGCAGTATTGCACACTTATAGTTTCCTATCTCTGCAAGGAAGAGAAGGCATTGGCCATTATAATCGCACTCAATCTATATGCTTGGTATTGTGAGATCCCAGGTTAAGGGATCAAAGCTAGTTCCACTCCCTCCCTTTTACTGAGGAGGAAACCAAGACCCTGGGAGGTGACCTGCCCAAGGTCACAAGGTAGCAGGTGTGAGAGAAGATAAGCTCATATCCCATCTCTGTCATTTACTACCTAGAGACCTTGGGCAAGTCACTTGACCAAGGCCAGAGACTCAGTTTCCTCATCTATTAAATGAGAAGGTTAGACTAAATAGCCTCTGAGATCCCTTCCAGGATTACATTTATGATTCTATGAAACTGGTTCTGCAAGCTTAACCCTGCATCAAGTCATAGAAGTCTTCCCATACTTCTCTTTATTCCTTAGAGAGCCGTCTTTCCCATTCCATGCAGATACTATAACGTGCTTTAGTTATTCTCCAATCAGCGCCCGTCGGGCTTTTTAAATCTCCCGCCTCCCAGAAGCCTTTTCACCAATCAGAGTCTTTAGCCACTCACTCTGTGGCCTCCTGGGAAATAGAGTCCAAGCAGTTTCTCCCAATGAGTATGCTTCATGGGCTTCCTGGGAAATGAGGTCTTGCAGACTTTCCCTCGTCTCTACATGTAAAACGAGAGAGCTCGGCTTAGGTCGTTCTCTAGTCCAGCGCGGACATTCTACCTTCGAAGCCCTTTCCCCACGTCACACTCGGCGCTGTTCCATTACTTCTGCCTGGCCCAAGCCTTTGGTGGTTCTGGGATCTAGTACTTCTGCCTGAGCGGGAACGGACGCTCCCCCCACCCCCGTTTCTCTGATGGACTCGGCCATCTTTTGCTTTTGCTTGGCAACGTACCCCACTGCGTGCTCGGGTCCGCCCCCTCCCCCTCCCTAGCGACGAGTCGAGGCCGAAGCTGGGATCGGCGCGCGCACCACCTCTGGCCTCTCTTGACCCTTAGCGTCTGTTTCCGTTTCCGGTTCTCCGCTTTATCCGAGCTACACTCGTGCGGTTGGCTGCTGGAGCTGGCTCGGGGAGTCTCTTGTGGGGGTCGTCATGGCGGGAAGCCGGCTGGAGACCATTGGCACTATCTTTACCCGGTGTGTGCGCGGAAAGCGCACGGGGCTCAGTCTGCGGGGGCCAGACCCGGGGCGGGGGTGGGGAGTGGGGTGCCTAGGCTTCCAGAACCCCCCATGGAAAGGAGGGGGGCACCCCCTGGCGCTTCCTGGGCCGGAGTCGGCGGGCACCCTTCTGGGCTGGCAGTGCTCCTTTTCTTGGAGCCGGGGTCCATGGTGTCCGGTCCCCGTTGTGTCACTAGCTAGCCTGTGCGCAGGACCTTGGGCGAGTCACAGCATCTCCCTTGGCCTCTGTTTCCCCATCTGTAAAATGAGCGAGTGGTTGAGAGGCATTATGGTATGGTGGAAAGAATTAGAAGACTTGGCTCCAAATGTTGTCTGGGTCACTTAACACTTTTGACATTGATCTAGTCACTTCACTTCTCGACCTCACTTTACATTTCTCTAGAGAGTGTGTGGGGGGGGGGCGGGGTGTACACTAGATCGAGTTCTTAACCTTTTTTTGTGTGTGTGTCATGGACTCGTTTGAAACCTATGGATCTTTTCTCAAAATAATTTTTTTTTTGAGGCAATCGGGGTTAAGTGACTTGCCCAGGGTTACACAGCTAGTAAGTTTCTGTGTCTGAGACTGGATTTGAACTCAGGTCCTCCTGACTCCAAGACAGAAGCTTTATCCACGCTGCCCCTCAGAATAATTTTTTTTAAAAAATCAGTGAAAGGAATTGTTATATTTCAGTTACAGGTTGGTGAACATAAAGACGTAATTTCTTTTCCCCCATCCAAGTTCACAGTCCCTTTGAGATCTCTCCAAGGACCCTAAGTTAAGAACCCTTAGGCTAGATGATCTCTGAGAGCCCTTCCAGGTCTGTGATTCCTGGGTGAGCTCTTGAGGGCAGGAACTGTTTTTTTCTTTTCTTTGTATCACCATCATTTAGCACAGACTTGACGCACACTGAATGCTTAATAAATGGTTGTTGATTGATCCTCCAAAGTTCTTTTCCAAATCCTATGATCCTGAGAGATGTTTCTTGTACTTCTTACCACGTAGAGAGGTAGAGGGATCAGTTCCCTGACCCATGGACCTTAGGTGAGCCCATGGCTCCCCAGCTATTGGGGCTGGGATGTGTGGTTATTGCTTGTGACAAAAAGTAGCCCCTGGGGTCTTTTCCAAAACCTGCTTTTGGGCAAGCTGGTTCATTCTTTCCCTTAAGGACTCGGGACCTGATGCGGGCTGGGGTGATGAAGGAGAAGCCCCTGTGGTATGATGTGTATGAGGCCTTTCCACCATTGAAGGAGCCTGTGTTCCGGAGGCCCCGCTTGCGCTATGGCAAAGCCAAAGATCTGGTACCTGAGATCCTGTACCAGGAAGATCGGATCAGAGCGTGAGTGATTACACTGCTCACCCAGGGAAAGGAGATGCAAAGCCCAGGAGGGAATCACTGAGTTACTACTTAATGAAACCATTTAAGTAATAGTAGATAGGAACTAGACTTCAGAAAGGAATTGAGGTAGAAATTTGCTGATCCAATCTCAGACTAGGAAATCAGTTTCTTTTTATATAAGAAAGACAGAAGGCCTAGAAAGGAGGATCTAGAATCAAGCAGCTGATAAAGAATTAAATGAGCTCTACCTCCCTTAACACAACAGTTCTAACTAAAGTGCAAAGACATGTTCAGAACCTTTCATTCCATCCTTCCCGAAAAGGGCTTTATGGCCATTGAGTGAACACGTGGCAATTGGGACCTAAACTTAGAGGACTAGGATTGAATTTTTTTGAAGTCTCCTAGCCAATTGGAGAGCTATCAGCAACTGCCTGAAATAACTTCTGGAATAGTGATATGAGACATTTATTGTGACCACATTCACTTCTTTTAATCATGGCTTAGTAGATAGGAATGTTTAACTGGCAGCTTAATGAAAAAACATTTCTCCCTTTTGGAAAATTCCTCGGATCCAGATAGCTCCTTTTCTCAGAAGCACTGTGACCTAAGGTCTTGCCTCAGTGAAACCATTGCAGGACACCTCATTCATATTTCTTATTTCTTTGGTCTAGGAGACAATGACTAATCATTGTACTTTAATTTTATGTGTCATATTTCTTCCACTGATAAGGCATATATATATATATAAAATCTCATCTGTCTTTGAGTCAGAAGAACAGGGATGTTCCATCCCTACTTTGAGAAAATCATAGAAAGGAGCTAGAGAAATTTGGTTTTATTATTTGGGGTTTTAAATAGTTGGGTCTTCAGCATTCTACTGGGTTCCATTGCACTAATTTTTTAATACAATAATATAAAACACATACCTATTGACCAGATATTGTGTGCCAAACACTGCTAGGCACTGGAGGGGAAGCAGTTTTAATTAAGAGTCTCTATGCTTCATTATACATTAAGGGATTTTTGCCTGTTGATTTTGTGGAAGACAAAGGAGCAGGTGACATTTTAGGGGAGTATTGCAGGTAGTCCCTTAGCTCCTGATTTTTACTGAATATCATTGTTAATAATATTAACATCATAATACCTTGCAGTTATGTAGTTCCTTTACATTTTCAAAATGCTCTGTCACGTAGCTGAACACCAAGAAGTGCAAACTGCTAGCATAACTTAAAATGTTTCTTTTGCTGTCTGTAGGAACTGACAGCAACATGTGAGCTGTTTTGTATTATATGCTTCTCAAAGATTGAATGATTATTTTTTCTCATATATCAGTCATTGACATTGACATTGATTTCTAATTAGAGATATAACACCTATTTTTATTCTCTAGGAAATACTATTCAGTTTATGGATCTGGTCCCAGAACTTTTGATCTTTTCAACCCGAACTTTAAATCTTCCTGCCAAAGGTAAGAGACTTGTATGTGTATCAGTTCACATTTAATAAGTCGTTTGGCAGTGCGATGAGCTTATTTGTATGAGTTTCACTTAAGGGAAGAAGAGGTTGGGATGTTTAATAAGTATGCTTGGTGTTCTTTAGTAGCTGAGCAAAGAAAGTATAATTTCCTGGCACAGAAAAACTGAAAAGGTGCATATCTGAGAGGGGACTGCTTGGACTTTCAGATTTGTGGAGAAGTATATTGAACTGCAGAAAAAGGGAGAAACAGATGAAGATAAGCTCTTTGTGGAAACAGGAAAGGCTTTATTGGCAGAAGGCATTATTTTAAGACGAAGAGGAGAAGGAGCGACTGTAAGTATCTCATACTGAGCTTGGGTCAGTCCACTGTCAGAGAAATCAGAGAAGATTTAGACCTCTTCTCCACCTATACTTCACTTTTTTTCCTCCAATTGCTGGTTTCACTTTTAAACTACAGGTCAAATCCTATTACAATGAGTGCTAAGGAATGTATTAGAGTATTATTGTTTTGAATATTGCTTGAAAGATATGGGTCATCAACTGGGGTTGGAATGTAATGAATGATATTTATTTTAATGGGGTTTGACCTCAAATATCAAAGCTTTGATGTGTTGTCTGTGTATTTAAGGCAGCTCTTTTATAAACCTCTACCTCATTAATGTGGGTAAAAATGTTTACATCTGTGACATACTCACATCTGGTGTTGCTAATCTGTCTTTTTAGCATTTAGGGAAGTCAGAAACCTGAAACAAGAACTTCAGATCAGAACTGTATTGGAGGAAAAGTGGCATAACCCCGTATGACCAGCCTTTGGAGTTCACTGAAGAGAAGCTGAAGAATTTGTTTCTTCACCATTGAATTATACTTATTATTATTGTGTACCATCAATGCCTGATCTCATAATAACCATACACAGTAGATCAATGTTGAATTTTTTTTTCACAGTTGAACTGGGGAAATATTTCTTAACTTATAAGTATTTACACTTGAATTTTGTATATTCACCCCTCTTTGGGGGTTTTCATTAAAGCTCAAAACCTGGCAAGCAGTCATGTGAACTTTTATGTTGTAGTACTGCTTAACTATAAAACAGGTTCAACCTGAAACTGTCAATAGTCTGATAAAATCCTCGTATATAGGCTCACACTATTTTTAAATGGATTTTTTTTTACATGCTTGGTTGGATTTCAGTGTTTGTAGATAGAATGAGTTTTGCTCTTTACTGTCTTTTGATCAGTTGATAATCTGTCAGTTAATTGTTCATATGGATTCAGGGTGTTTCCATGACACATTTATCACTCTCCCGAAATGATGCCTGCTGTATTTGTTGCCATAGAGTTAACTGCCTTCTTTGTGGAAGACCAGGCTGACATGCTTTGTAAAGTAATAGCCAGGGAGCTGAGCGCATGGTTGATTGAGGCTGGAGGCTGTAACTTCAGTTCCTGTCCCACGAAAAGGGGTTTGAAGAATACCAGTTAGTCAAAGATTGAATTTAGACAGTGTCTTTGGAAGCAGTCCAGGCAGAGAGAAAGGGACAGACTTGTTTGAAGCATACACACAAACTCCCAGCTCCTAAAAAAGGAAGCATTCCACCCCAGATTTAGCTGTTTTACTGTGCTAAGGATGTGACCTTTGACTGTGAAACTTTAGTCCAAGAAATATGTTTATAAATTTACTTCTTGAACCTCCTCATCTATTTCCCACACCACTTACAAGCAAACAGAATGCTATTTTGAACTTACAGTAATTGCCCTTGTTATCCTATAATGAAATTATTCAGGAACAAATAAAAATATCCCTCATCCTTTTAAAAACCCATCTTAAATTTCGTCTGCATGAAACTTTTCTTGTTAGAGCTTAAGTGAAGGGGAGTGAGGGGAGTGAATTTATTTTCTTCAATAAATAGTTACTATAATAATGCCATAAAAGTACTAATGCCAAGCCAAATATGGAAAGAAATTAATAAGAATGTAGAAAAGATAATCTTTCCCCTCAGGGAACTCGCAGTAAGGAAGAATCAAAACATAGAAGTAATCAGCAGGTACACTTTGTCTAGGATGCAAAGTTTCTGGCTTTCTCTCGTAAAACTTTCTATTGGTGAGTGTCTTGATAAAACAGGCCGGTAGTCTGATGGTGAAAAACCCTCAGGTTTGGGGGAGAGGCTGACCCTGAAAGGCATTCCCATTATCTACAAGACAATTTTGGAAAGAAAAGAAAATAAAGTGTTGGCCCATAGTTTGGTTAACTCTTTGCTGCCAAGGCAAAATTAAAAGGGCAGTTTACCCGGGCAATTCAGTACCATGTATGCAGCCAATTTGGGCAAAATTAATCTGATATTGAGTACCTATTATGGGCTTTAGCACTCCAATGTATGCCACAGAGAACGCTGAAGTGTAAAAGGTCAATCATAAAGTAATAGTCATCAGAGCTACTTAGTAGCTCTGTTTAAAAATTGGGAAAGTAGATCATTGGAACAGACTCAATATGCAAGAATCAATGACAGCTGAACTCAGCATAATCAGTAAGCATGTATTAAGCACTCACTATATGCTAGGCACTGGGCTGAACACTGGGAATATGAAGAAAAGCATAAATATATGATCCCTGCACTCGGGGAGCTCATAGTCTATGGGGGAGTCAACATTCAAACAACTGTATATGCAAGACACATACCATGTGAGTGAGAGATAATCTCAGAGGGAAGGGAGAGAGAGGAAAGGCCTCTTGTGGAAGGTGGGATTTGAGCTGAATCTTGAAGGAAACCAGGACACTTGCAGAGGGAGCACATTCTGGACATTGAGGAATACATCAGTCTTGGCTAAGTCCAAGAACATCAACTCCTTCAGGAGGGATTCCCTGTTTAGGAAAGCTGGAAAGCAATTTGCCAAAAAATGAAAGGTTTTAACCAGTGTCTTACACTACATACAAGTTCCAGATGGATATTTGACCTAATTATAAAAAGTGCTTCATTAAAAAAGGTAGAAAATAAATGGGAGTAACTAACTACAGTGGTCAGCAGGAAAAAAAGGGAGAGAAGAGACCAAACAGTGAACAAGTATTAAGTGTTTATTATGTGCCGGGTATTGTGACAAACATGAGGGATACAAAGAAAAGGCAAATGATCTTTGCCCTAAGGGAGGTTATGTTTAAAAATTTATTTTTTTATGAAACCAGAATTTCTGTGACGATTCCTCTCCCCCATCCCATAGATCCATCCCATATAAATAACAGTCTTTCAAAAAGAAAAACCAAAAATCATCAAAGCTGATCAATACGTTGAAAGAGTCCGAAAGTACAAGCAGTGCACCACACTCGTCGACCTTCCACTTTTACAAAGAAGCAGGGTGAAGGTGTCTCCTCATATGTCTTCTTTGGAACTGAGCTTGTTCTTTGTAATTTTGCAGAATTCCTTTTGATTGCTTTGTGGTTGTTCTATTTACATTGTTTCAGTCTTTTGTGTGTATTGTTATCTTTCCTCTGCATCAGATTGCGTAAGTATTTCTGTGCTTCTCTACATTCATAGTTATCATTTCTTGGTAGTATTCCAAGCACATTAAATTACTGCAGTTTGTGTAGCTATTCTTCAAATTATGGGCCTCTACTTTGCTTTCAATTCATTGGGGAGCTTACATTCTAGTGGAGGAGACAACATGTACGTGAGTAGGTACCCTACAAAGTAAATTATATACAGAGAAGATGAAAGGTAACCTTAGAGGAGAAAACCCCCTACAGAAAGTAAAATAAATTACATGAAATTGAAATGATTTTATTGTATCAAGGATAAGAAAGAAAATTATTGATTGAAATTTTTGTCCTCCATAAATATCTCAAGGGTCTGATGTCCAAAATAAATAGGAAATTAACAGAAATAGATATGAAACCAAAAGCCAGGCCCCCCTAAAAGATAAATGGTCAAAGTATATGAGCAGATTTCAAGTGAATTCTATTGAAGTTAGAGAGCTTAATAATTAAGAGTGCTCCACATTACCAATAAGAAATGCAAATTAGAACATCTCTGATCCTTGATCTCACCCAGAAAATTTGCAAAGATGGCAGAAGAGGGTAAAGGGAATAGGTCAACATTGGAGGAACTGTGAGAAGACAGGCACACTAATACACTGGGAGCTGTGAATTAGGTAAGCAATTCTGGTAAGCAATTTAGAATTATGCTTAAAAAGTGCCTAAGATATCCACATACTTTGACCTAGAGAGATCCCACTGCTAGGCATATATCCCAAAGAGATTAAGAAAAACCACCCCAAAACAGGAAAAATCCCATGTGTGCCAAAATATTTATAGCAGTTTTATTTTATTTTATTTTATCTTATTTTTTGGTGATAGCAAAGACTTGGGGGTGCGGGTGAAGCAAGGTGTCAATTCATTTCAATAAACATTAAGTGTCTATTATGTGCCCAGGCACTGTACTAAGTGCTGGGGATATAAGTAAGAAAAATGCAGTCCGTGCCCTCTAGGAGCAAGGGCATCTTATTCTGGTTGTTCCTGTGTGGTTGAAACCAAGCAGAGCTACAAATGGAAAAGTGGAAGAAGTTGAAAGTCCAAATCCTGCCTTCTATAAAGAAAAGCTTTGGGAGGAGTTTATTGCTATACCCTACAGCCCTGCAATCAGAGGGGAGTAGCTAACAAATCATAGCACGTAAATGCTTCAAAAAGAAATGGCAATGTATAGTCCTTCAAGGTTTATACTGTGCCTTAAAAATATTTCATTTTATCCTCACCACAACCCTGAGAGGTAGGTGTTAGTCTCTCCATTTTTACTGATAAGGAAACTAAAGCAGACAGGTTATGTGACTTGCTGAGTCACAGAGTTAGGAAGTCTCTACCCATTGCGCCACCTACCTGCCTCTGAATGAACAGCTGCATGCAGAATGAAACGAAAACATGTAAACAATGTAGCAATGGAAAATGGAAAGACAATAAAATGAAGTTGAATGTTGTGTAATTGTGAAGTGGTGAGGGACTATGGGTATGGAATGTTGCTTCTGCTGGCTGATGTATTGCTTAGTTTTTCTGAACTGCATTTTTTTTCTCTTCTAATCTCTTTACACAAAAAACTTTCGTGGGGAAGGAAGTGGGGATGGAAAAGATATATTTGGAAGTAAATGTGAAATTTTAAAAAGGCATCAATAAAACAAGCAAAAGTGATGATCTTTTCCCTCAGGAGCCTAGTTCTAGATAGGTACATAGAATACTAACACAAATAATACAATAGAAAATAACATAAGATAGAATAGGCATATAGAGTGTACTTATGATTTCATTGACACAGGGAACCTGCAGGTGAAGACACTCCTACCAGTGCAGGTTGGCACCTTATCTACAACTTAAAGTCTTAAGGATTTGCCCAGAGCACTGAGAAATGACTTGTGCATGTTAGTATAGCCAACATTTGTCAGAGACAGGACTTATATCCATGTCCTCCTGACTTTGAGACTGGCTTTCTAAGCAATATGCCATGTAGGACAGACTAAAGCTATAAGTTTAGGGGGGAGAAAGATCAGAGAAGACTAAGGTAATCAAGGAAGGCTTCATGGAGGGGGTTAGACTTGAACTGGGATTTGAAGAATGGAGAATATTGGAGTACTGCACACAGAAGGGAGAGGGGGGAGGCATACCAGGTAAGAGGAGAATGATAATAAGCAAAGACTTGGAGTTGGAAATTTGTAAGATGTATGTGGGAATTAAATTACCCTAATAGTAGTGAAGGGTAAATGTCAATAATTAGATGTAAGCTTGGAATAGTCGTAGGCTAGGATTTAGGGTTGGAAGAGACAATAGTGGGCATTAGTTCAAAATTCTCATTCTACAGAAAAGGAAACAATTCCGGATGTGAAGTGATGAACACATGAATTCCAGAGTTCTTTCCACTCCACTACCACACATTGACATCCAAGTTGAGCTGGATGATGGAGGCCTTTAGAGCCACATAGATTAGTTGAGACTTAGTGAAAGCCATTAGAAGTTTTTGAAAGGAATATAACAAGATGAAGGCTTTTTTGAAAAAGATGAATCTGACAGTGATATAGAGGA